TTGTGCATCACTTGCTTTGTACATTGTTATTATTATTATCATTATTATACTATTATTATTATTCACCTTATTTCAATTATTAAACTGTTCTTATCTCAACCCAGGAGTGTTTGGTTTTCTCACTCTTACTCCTCCAATTCTCTCCCCCATCCTATCGGGGTAGGGGGAGTGAGCGAGTGGCTGCGTGGTGCTTAGTTGCTGGCTGGAGCTAAACCACGACATCATTGCAACAAAACAGAGATGCACAAGAGTTTTCTCAAGGGAGCAAGTTATATCATTTGCCTTCAGTTCTTTAGCATGGAATCAAGTCATTTTAGAATTGTAGCATTGATCAGATGAATGGACCTTTGTGACTAAAAATGTGTATGAATAGATCAGCTGGTCAGATAAAATGCTAATTCTCTGTACAAACCTAGTATCTGTTGATTCTCATGAGTTTAATGTTGTTAATTCAAAATAACCCTTTTAGTACCCGCCCTCTTAAGAAGACAGCAGTTACGCTCAGTTTGACCAGAAGGCTGTCTAACAAAGTACCCTGTCTAACTGCAGCCACATGTTGAAAGAAAAGTATATGTAGAACCAAAAATGTGTAGTGATACTTATCTAGGCTACTCTTCAAGCTTCTAACAAGTTCCTGAGCAAGAAGTATTATTTCTCTATGTAATTGCACTTTATGTTTCCTCGTGAAGCTGTCCAGTCATCCCTGGAACCTGTGTAAACTTAAAATTTTTTTACTCACATTACTGATTAAATCAGTACTGTCTTATATTCAAAAACAAACAAAAAAGCACTATAGCAATACAAGGTTGGCTAGTAGACTTGGTGATAGCTTAGCTTCTCTTGAAGGGGATATTTTTCTGGTTAATTGGAGCAGTTACTTCAGTGAAACATGAAAATGACGAGTTCAGTCAGTGCGCAAAGGAACAATGAAATGCTGCAATATGGTGTTACCTTGAACAAATTTTGAAATAATAGGTAGGCACTAGAAATCATGTCTTTGATTTTGCTTGCAGTATAGTCTGAAGTCCTTGTATAGTATAGAAGTGAAAGTGTGGTTTGATAATAATTTTGCTTATGATATTTTATGTGCCAAACTTCTGCCAATTTTACTGGTTTAACTGTTTTGTTAGCTATCTCATTTAGATGCTGAAGGCTGATGGCATGTACTGTTAATAACTTTGATAGCATTAATTTAGCCAACTAAAACCAACCAAACAATGTTTCTCTATCTGCCAGATAAAACCAAAACTCTTTTGCTAATGTTAAGCAAATTGGTGCTTAGAATTTATGCTTAGCACAGGGAAGAGGATTTAGGAGGGCAACTGCATATTAGCTTGTGGGTTTTCTGATTTTTGCTTTTTATTTGTGACATTCTTGTAGTGTTAGATTATCAAGTAAATGAGGTTACTTCAGTTTAGTTGGAAGGAGTGAAATGCATCCAGATCTCAAGTTATCCTCAAAGATACCTAGAGAAGTTAATAGAATTTGAATAGACTCAAAATGCCGCTCTGAGTGGTTGTGGAATATTTTCTGTGTGACTTTATCTGCTTCACTTGGCTGAGCTACAGAACTGTTAGAGACTGTCTACTGTCAGCCACAGAAAAAACATTTTGAAGAACTGAACTTGCTTTCTATAGTGAGGCACGCTAAAAAGTCCCTCTGATTTTGGCTTAGCTGAGGGCAGTGAGCTGGCTGTGAATGGTGGAATTAATGATATTGAACACGCCTGACTTGCATCTACCATGTAGAAATTCAGCACTTCACATTACTGGCTTCCTGTTTTATTGGTATGCCTGCAAAGCTCTTGAGAGTCACCAAATTTTTTTGTACGTTCTGTCAGTATTTGCCTTCAGAAACGAGGCTAAACAAGTCATTGGAAGAATCTGATCCAGAATAAATTTGTCTAAAATCTTAGTAAATCCCCCTGGGAGGGGCAGAGAAGTTCGGAGTTGGTGTCAGTCTAGATCAACTCTTGCCTCTTCACAAGTACCTGCTTAATGGCAAGCAGATCTGTTGTCCCTCCAAGTGCCCAAAAGAAACTGTGTAACTGTGGTTTCTTTTTCCATTTTAATTGGGTTTTATTAATGGTATTTGATCAAAACATAGTTAATAGTTGTTAGTGGTCTTTATTCATTATAATGAGCAGGCTTAAAAATAAGGGGGAAATACAAGTAGCTTGTTAGGTGGCATGTGTGTGTGTGTGTTAGCAAAGATACCTAGAATATTCTTGACTACGTTTTATTCCTGCTTTGAGACTCATTTTTTGTCCTGTTGGTAACTTCAGCATTGACAACTTTATTTTGTTTTAAGTCTGTGCTGTTCTTTACTGTAACTCCATTGCTCCTGTGTATGGCAGAGTAGGATTCCTTTAAGTCTTCTTAGGCTCCATAAAGGTAGCCAAAACTGTAAAAACAAAAAGCAGTTTTGATAGTAATCACCAAACTTTAGGAAAGTAGATACAGTTTGTATGCAGTTTCTTTCTGAAGAAAAACCAAAAAAGTTACAATAGCAGGTACTATATAAGGTATTGCACCTGTGTAGTCTACTGATTAGCTTTTTTAACATGTCAGTGTCTGAGGTATTAAACATTTTAAAAATGTTTCTGTATTGTTATAGGGGGCAGTTACTGATTTATAAACCTGTTAATGGCAGTTCAGAAGTGTTGTTACATACCTTGAAAAGATATGTTTTGTATTTTAAACATGTTTTGATCCTGTAATAGCCCTTTAGAAAGGGAGTAGTATGGTATACAAACTTTGGAAGATGAGTCTTACAAAAGACAAAGGAGGGCTTTACATAGGGAGTTCTTGTTGAAGAACGCAGCTTTGCTCACTACTTTTGAAGGGTGTCTTTCTATGGCCTTTGCTTTCCAGAGATGTCATTACAAATTAGGGACAGAGCATTCTTAATCCCGTTAGTTGCAGTATAGATGTGTCAGTTCAGGTACTTTGATAGGGTTCCAACATCAGATTTTTGGGTTTTTTTTTTTCAATCTGTCTGCTTCAGGTATCTTAGAGATCCGGAACAGAGCATATAAGCAGTCTGACTGGGCTGTGATTTTAAAACAGTAGTTGGTGAATTCCAGCACTATTGTCAAAAGACTTATTAGAACCTTTTTTGGGGGAGGAGAGACTTGAACTTCTAACCAAGAGGTTTTGTTCCCTTACTTTGCAACCCTTCCAACTTCCTGGACTGCTACTTAGCTCTTAAGAGATTGAGCCAGTCTCAAGTTCAGTTAAAGCTTATCAGGTAGCTACAGTTTATCTTTTATTGAGAGATCTTCTGTTTTTACATACTTAATTGTAAAGGACTTTAAGGAGGAACGATGCACTTCATATATTATCTGGGTTTCTTCATACTTGAAACTCAAGTTCTGTGTGTCTGTGTTAGATGTGTCTCCTTCCCCCAAAGAACAGAAACCAGGTATGTACACACCTTTGTGCTTCTCCCATGCTGCCTTACTGTGGGAGAGCAAAATAGTACAGTTCTTTTCTTGTGTTGTCACTACAACATCTGACAGGTGAATTTGTGATGTGGCAGATTTTTTTTTTTTAATGCTATTTTAGTAAAGATACATGTTTATATCTTGTATAATCTGTAGTGCTCAGCATCTTGCTGTTTCCAGACATGTCTAGGAGCTAGATTCAGTTTTCTGGGAGTAGTTCAGTGTATCATTTATCTCTTAAGATGATGGTGGGCAGCAGGATAAAACGAAAAGTAGTAGCCTGAAGTTTACTGGAAGGTTTCTTATTTGAGCTCTTAAATTTTCAAAAAGATTTAGGGTTTCATCTGAACTTTCTAATTTGGAGTATTTCTTAAGACTTTGATTTATGTTATTAGAAAGCCTTTATCTGACTTATGGTCTTTTTTGACTGCTGTCTGTATATGAGACTGCATTATTTCAGGGCTTCTTGAAAAGAACAACATTGAAGTATGAAATCAGTTGTCTTAATTAATATTGGTGTCTTGGTTTGCAAATCTACTCTAAAAAAAATAGAATGGTGAGCAGCAAGGTAAGGTTTACAGTGAGTTTCTACATCTCTGCTGGCCTTAGCCTGATGATTGTATTTCTTTTCATGAATGGAGAACAAACACTTTTTTTGTTTGCTTGTTTATGGTGTAAAGGAAGATAGAAATGTCAAACTTACATGAAGTTTGACATAAATGTCTTTGTTATTATCTCTTGTGTCCCTTTCCTTCCCTGCCCAAGTATAGTGCAAACTGAATTCTGTTTGTTAAAGTAATGGAAACCTGAAAGACAAAGCAGTGGTGTGAGAAAGGGGAAATATTACTGTTTTGAGGCGGGGGGTGTGTGTTACATATTTTAATAGGCTATTGGATATTCTCTCTGTCAACTGTTTAAAAACTAAAACTGAAAGAAAACCTCAGCTCTGGTCATAAGTAGCCATTATGATCCTTTAGACTGCCCTCCTGCATGGCACAGGGTTTCACTTAGTAATTCTTGAATCCCAGCCATGATTTCTGGTTGACCTGGCTGGAATGATCTTGGAAAGATATCCAGTCTTCCTTTAATGAATTAAAATGAATGTAGAAGAAGCAGTAAGGTGTACCCCTTCCCACTCCCCCACACTTGTTAGACCAACTTATTTTCTTCATACCTGGTAACAGTATTTGCTAACTGTTGAAATCAATTTCTGAATAGTGAATCTCCAAATCTTTCATGCTGTATGGTCCTATTCACTGCTTACATGCTAAATCTGGACCATCTTTTTATGACTTCTATTTTGGGGGGAAATAGGAAACAGGTTTTCTGAGCAGTAATTACTGTCCAAGAAGCTCAATGTTGTGTCTTACAGCCAGATGCAGACTGCCATGTTGCTTCTGCTGTCACTGTGAGGTTATGAAACTCATTGCTAAAGCTGGGTCATGTTTGAAAAGTCTGAAAAAGAAAGGGATAAGCCTGCCAACATGGAGTGTATGCTATGTGAAATGGAGAGGAGGAATTGACTGAAACCTGATGTTTCCCATCCAGTGACTGTATTTTGCGTAGTCAAAAATTTCGAAACAAATTCTTGAGCAAAATACAGCATTTAAACGGTGATATCCTTCTGACAATGTTTTCTGGGCAAAGGTGGAAGAGCTAGATAGTTTGCAAATCAGTTATATTTACAAAGTTTATTTCCCACCCTCACTGCTTCGAGGCAGAAATGTAAGCATCATTGTTGTATCTTGAAATATCTAACAGGAATAACTTTTCAGAGGCATTGACCTTGCTGTAGTGGCAGGTCACCCTAGAGGGAAAAGATTGAAGCAAATTACTTCTGTTAAGATGCAGATGATTTGCAAGTGCTGACAAGGTTTTGCTGTATTTAATGGTACAAGTGATCTTGGTATTATTCCTAAGAACTGAGCCTGCAGTCATAGTACTGTGTGCTGCGATCCTGTCTGTCAGTTCCTGAGCTAAGTGAGGTCAAGCTGGGTAAATACCATAATGTGAAACCTCAAAGAAAGTGTTGCAGGAAGTGATATGGGTTTGAATCAGTATCTCAACACAGCGGTATGGATGTTGTGCCTACTGAAGACTGAGGTCTTACTGATGACCACCTGAGGCCCAGGCCATAAAAAATACAAATGGGAACTCTAATATTTTGCTCTTGGTAGTTAGTCTGAAACCCTCTGCCTTCTAAAAGTGTTTTTTTTTATTTAATTCTCTCCTTTTCTTTGATTGCATAGCATTGCATGGTTCATTGGTCCATCTTTCTTCCAGGAAGTTGTGTTCATCCCATAGGACCTTTTTTTGTTTGACACAGGAATGTGAATTGTGGCCATGTAAATATTAGAAAGTAAAAATATTTCTCTTGTTACATTATAGGCCCCTGGATTTGGATTTGGTATTGCGATATCTGGAGGAAGAGATAATCCTCACTTTCAGAGTGGTGAGACATCAATAGTTATTTCTGATGTGCTGAAAGGAGGCCCAGCAGAAGGACTGCTGCAGTAAGTGCCAAAACTATACCTGGATTTTGATTAGGGGGGGCGTTCATCTTTGTCACTGGTAGCTTAACCTTCTAATTGTTTTGCTCTCAAGAGATCTATCTGTAACTGTTTGTATAGTAGGTTTATAATACAGGTAGTCTGCTCAGGGACATCCATTTCCCAATACTTTTCCCTTGGCATAAAGTATTTATACTGTGCGTTGTGATGTTTTTCATTTAGAGAAAATGACCGTGTTGCAATGGTTAATGGAGTTTCAATGGATAATGTCGAGCATGCATTTGCTGTTCAGCAGCTGAGGAAAAGTGGGAAGAATGCCAAAATTGTAAGTGAACGTCTTGAAGATTTAAGCTTACTTAAATCCATAGAGCAAAAGTGAAATGGTGTAATGTCTGCTATGAAATACATGCATGATGCAAGGTAGTTGAATAATACCTGTGTGATTCTTCAGGTTTAAGTGATGATCATATGTTTATCATGTGGGTCACTCAAATTTTTTTTAAAATGTGAATGATGATGTTTGGGTCATGTGGCACTGGATACTTCAGATTCTTTTTCCTGATGGTAAAGTTCTTCTCAGTTTGCCAAAAGCTCAATTCTCAGCTTTGTTTAATATTTCTTTGCTTTTTTGAGTGCACTTTTATCAAGCTTTTCAAAGGCTGATGTATGCTAAAGGACTTTGCCCACTGTTCAGGCACTAACATAGTTCTTTTTATGCTCAGTAAACAGTTTGCCAAAATAAAGTGTAATTACCTTAATTCCTATAATTTTGTAGGCTTATTCAAAGTGCTTGGCTTTTGAACTTTGCAAAACAGAACAGGTCATCACTAAAGGGTAGTAATCCGGCTTTCTGTAGAAGTTTGAGATTTATGTTACAAAAAATAGAACACAAATGCACAGTGTTTAATTTCTTAATTCAGGAAAGCAGACTTCTAGGGCTTGTGGAAAAGCTTTTGTGCTGACAGATTTCTAGTGCTCTTGTGTGCTTTAATACAGTTGCAAAAAATTGTGTTTTGCATTTATAGATTTAGCAATTCTTTAAAGCTTACACAAAACAAAACGTGTGGTGAGCTGTGCAGGGCTTTTGGTATCTTAAGTATTTGGTGTGTAGATTTATGTGGAGAAAAGCAATTAATGAAAACTTTATGGTATAACTTGCTTCAGTTCTGTAACACATAGCAAATAAACCTCTGAACAGGATTGGGTCTTACTCTGGAAACAGCTGTCTGCATTACTGCAAACCAACTTTGAACTTTCAGCGGGAATGTTCCCGTTCCTCTGTGGCTTGCATAAACACTGCTTTGGAAGATTGGGAGGCTTCAAAGTTGAGGAGAATTACTGTCAATAACACACTGAGTATACAGTAGATTACATGTTAGCAAAAGGAGTTTTTGGCAGTGCCAGTAACTGATTTGTGGGTTTAAGCAAAGAGAGAGGGCATTCAAATATGCAGCTCTGAAGACAGAATATGGTGTTATGCTACAATGACTGTTATTCTTACCCTTCTGCCACTTTTGCAGAAGCAAAGGAGGACTAAAACAACTGTAAAAACAAACATACTCCTCCCCTTCAAAAACAGGTTTCTAGTAGTATGTATTGATGAGTCTTCTGTATTAATTGGATAGAACTTGATAATGAGGATGCAAGAATTCAGAGTATTGACAAATACATCTGTATGTTTTCTTTCGAGTTTTGGGATTAGCTTGGCTTCTGACATTAAGTAATACCACTAGCATTACGCAGCCAGAGGCTGATATCTAGTGTTTCATTGTAGACTATCCGAAGGATGAAGAAAATTCAGATTCCTGTGACTCGACCAGAACCTGAACCAGTGTCTGAAAACGAGGACGATAGCTACGATGAAGAGATACGTGATCCAAGAAGCAGCCGTGGTGGTCCAAGTGCCAACAGAAGGCATGAGAAGAGCTGGGTAAGAGATCGAAGTGCTAGCAGAGAAAGAAGCTTATCACCAAGATCGGACAGAAGGTCTGTTACTTCCAGTCAGCCTGCAAAACCTACCAAAGTAACACTGGTGAAGTCAAGGAAAAATGAAGGTAACTTGTATGTAATTCTCTTGCTAAGACTTGCTGGTTTTTAAAGGCCAACTGCTTCGGTCAATGTTGTGTTAGGGGCTTCATGAAATGTATGAACAGTGAGTGCTGTGAACAGCTTGTTTGCATATTTTATGAGTAGCTAGCTGGAAACTTAAACACTGCTGTTGTATTTCTGGTGGTATTTTTCGTACTCAAAAATACATGTGCTTAATTAAGGATGAAGGATTATATAGTGTAAAAAAAAAAAAATCCCAGCCATGCACCTGATATCTGGTAGTCAGTGGCTACATACCTTCCATATACTTTAGTTGAGTTGTCAGTGTCTTGTCTTGTTTGAAAGAGGGAGATTGTAGGTAGCATCTAAATTAAGCTATTAAACTTCAGCTATGATTACAGGCAGTTAGAAAAGAGATTGATATAATGGTAAATCCATAGTGTAATTCCGCTACAGCCTTTCATATGCCAAGTTCAACCTCAGTGTAAATGTTGTGTAAAGCAGTGTTGTAAGTCTTCAGATACTTCCCTCTTTTTTTTTTTACTGTAGCTTCATCAGTTTTCTTTTTTCTTTTATTGCTACTACATAAAGAGTATGGTCTACGGTTGGCAAGCCACATATTTGTGAAAGAAATATCACAGGATAGCCTGGCAGCAAGAGATGGCAATATTCAGGAAGGAGATGTTGTACTAAAGGTATAGTAAATGATGGTGGTGGTGGTTGTTCAGAGGGAAAGCTCATTGATATAACTTTTCTTAGAATTAGCTATCTCTTAATAGCATAGTTATTGTTAGTAGAAGATGTATCTTTTTTTATTAAATTACTTCAAAGATCAATAAATTTAAGTATAAATCAGCCTCTGTAAGGAAACGAAAATTATAAAGCCTTTTTGGTTTTTGGTATTATTCCCCAGGCCTTATTCAGACAAATGGTGCCTACTGTAAATGCATATTAGGAAACATTTGGGGTGGTATGAGACTTTGGCCCTGCGTGCTTAGTTATACAATATAATGTTGTGGAATTGCGCTGTTGAGCAACACTAGAACTTGCCTTCTGGTTAAATTTTTATTTTTGTAGAAATCGATATACCCAGGGATTTTTAATTCGTACTAACAATTTTTATTTCGAAGTAATGCTGTAAATGTGTTGGTGCAGAAAAACATACCATTCCTTACTCTGAGTATAGCAGTGCTCGTTCAAAAAACATAGCAAATATTTTTAAGGTTTTGTATTAGTGGTAGAGGCTTTGTTTTTGACAGATGAAAATAATTTTCTAGATTATGTTATAGTTTGGATGAGCCCAGTAGTCTTCCATTGTATGGTGGTAATTTGATAAATATCTTTAGGTATTTCTACATAACATCAGACAGAAAACCACTACATTTACTGGAGATTCACTGGTTTTTTTTCAGTAAGTTTATATCTGCTCTTTTCTTACTCTGTTCCAGATAAATGGCACAGTGACGGAAAATATGTCCTTAGCCGATGCAAAAACACTAATAGAGAGGTCAAAAGGCAAGTTGAAGATGGTTGTTCAGCGAGATGAACGAGCCACACTGTTGAATGTCCCTGATCTTTCTGACAGTATTCATTCTGCTAATGCTTCAGAAAGAGATGGTGAGCATAAATAAACTTGATTTCCAAAGGGAGAGAAGAATTCCCTATGTTGTAAAGATGTGAAACACCTAAGTGGGATGAGAGGGTGGGAAGGAGAAGAGTTAGGATAAGATTGTCATGTGGGTAAATTCTTGTTTGAATATGATTGAAATCCACGCCTTCAAAAACAGTGGAGAAAAAAATACGGTTCTTATTCTTGCAACTGTTCTTCCAGGAATATTAAGTTTAGTTGTTTTGAAATAATAACCATAGTTTAACATCTTCATAAAAATTCTCTGCAAAAGCTTATTCCCATTTGAGCAGGTCATGCCACCATTTTAATTACAATCATTTCATGAAAAAACAACTTTTATTTAACAGACATTTCAGAAATTCAGTCGCTGGCATCAGATCATTCCAACCGATCACATGACAGGCCCCGCCGCAGTCGTTCACGATCTCCTGACCAGAGGTCAGAGCCTTCAGACCATTCCAGACATTCTCCACAGCAGCCCAGCAACGGCAGGTGATGGTAGCATTGTATTATTTTTAAATCAAGTATTTAATGTGACATATAAGTTGTAGGAGTGCTTGGATTTATACAGTGTGACAAATGTGATGCAGAACTATGGTGGTAGTAATATGGCATTCTTTCTCTCAAGAGATGCAGCTGATAATGATCCATATTTTCTTAGACTTCAGGAGAAATTGAACCTTTAACTTCAATGTTATCCCTTTTTTTTTTTAAACATAATCTTAGAGCATGGTTGTATGAATGACAATGTAAGTTTCATAGTGATACATGTTACTGAAGTGTATGCAATTCCATTTTGGTGTTAGAAAGCAGTTAACTGCAAGGATATTTGAGATTGAGATGACTAGGAGCACAGTTCCTGTTGAATGTCCAACCTGGGTAAATTTGTTGAAACCTTGCTTTATTTAGGCATAGGCTTTCAATTTTCCTCACTAGCCTTCTTGAAAAGTTATTCTATGTTTCTGCATACATTTAATTCCTACAAAGTAAGGTGTATTGCACAGCAGATTTAGCTTTTGGAAGGTAGTTTTTAGTATTTGAACTTGGTAGTGGGACATTCATGATAATTCTGAAGTAGGTAGGTCTAATTTTATATGAATGCAGAGAGGAGTAATCTGTTGTATGGTTTGGAATGTTTTCTTCTCCCTGTGAAACTTTAGTCTTGAATAACATAAATCTGTCCTGTTCTGCATTTCCACAGTTTGTTAGAAATGGACATTTTAATTTTTTGAAATAGAATATCAATATTGGATTTTAGATTCTACTAAATATTTGTAAGAGAAAAGTTTACCTTCTGAGTGCTCTTAGATGATGGAGCAAAAGTTAGAATTGATCTGTTGCGAATTCCAAATTCAGAGCCTGTATTTGAAGATTTTTAGATGCTGTCAAAAATTCTGAAAAACAAATTACAGCTGGCTGTTCTGTAAAACTAAAATAGGCTTGATTGGTTATTAATAACATTTTGTTTGCCCAAGGGGAAAATAACACTTATACCTTCAGGGTTTTTAGAGTATTTTAAGGGTTAATAAAACTTCAAGACAAATCTTACCTGCATGTACACCTGGTTGGGGCTATGGATTATAGACATTTTTGCTTCTCTTCCATGTATGTTGTTTGGAGGGACCACAAAACATGAAAGTTTGTTTTCAAGTAGGAACCCTGTATTAGCGGGAAAAACTTAAAAGCAGGTCCCGGATGCAGGGATTCAGTTGTGAAGGTTGTGAGGTCTCTGTCAGATTTAAAACCTTTATTTCTTGACATGCATTTCTGTTGCAGTGTGAAAAGGGCTTGTGGAGGGAGGAAGAAAAAAAAAATCCATCAAAACTGAAACTATGACTGACTTACCCTAGTGTTAGTGCTTTCCTGTCCTATTACAGTGGCTTAGGTAGATGGTCACTTCCTCCCTATGGACTACACTGTCAGAAGAATTAAATCCTTCCTGAGAAGGAACTTTGAAGTTATCTCAGTTCTGAATGCATCCGCTATATCTGCTCTATGAACAAGAGCTACCTTGGCATGGACTGACTTCCTGTTGGACATGTCCCTTTCAAGATCAGAAGATCCGGGCGCTGAGCCACATAAAGAAAAACATGTTAAAAGCAACTTATCTTTGTAGTGGTTATTTGTGCAAGTTCAAATCTGCTGTAAGATCAAATTAGTTGCAACTGCTTCGTTTTTTAAAATTTGGTGAAAAATCGGAGGGGGAAAAAAGCTTGAGAGCTTGAGAAAAACAAGCTGAGGAAGAAAAGGTGCAAAAAGTCCTCAAACTGAGCTTGAGGAGGACATTAAAAAATGTATTGAAGATAACGAGTCTTTATTTAGACCCTGTTCTGCCAAATGTTTGTATGTTAATGAGGAGTGAAATTCCAGGGGAATCCTCTTAGTCTTTTCATACAAGCTTAACCATAGACTGACACTTCTAGGTGTGCACTAGAGTACTGGAGTCTGCCAACAGACTTGCTCCAGTATTGCTTTGGGGACTGGCAGGGTATTCAATGTTGTCCATCTTTCAGTATTCCATACTGGTACGTACACCAGTGTGCCTGCAGTTTTGCTGGAAATAGAATTTCCATAACAATTGCTATTTGAACATTCCGTCAAAGCGTTAAATAGCACTTGTAGTTTTCTTTAGTCCAGAGGAAGTTCACAGATGTCTCTTGAACAGTCTTTCTAAAACTCAGATTCTAGAACATGTTCTTTAATTTACTAATAAAAAGGACTAATTACCCTTGTATGGGTGTTTTCACTTGTGGAGGATTGCAAATTATTCGTAGTCAGTCTTGAAAAGAATCCAGAGAATTAATCTTACAAATCTTCAGATACAGATAAATACTCATAGCCCTGGAGACTTGGAAAATGCATAGCCAGCTGATACCGAATTAGGTACTAAGTGAAATATAAATATGTCCTGGCTTTGAGGAGGAGCTCTCTGATCAGATCACGTTTTAAAGGTTAGGTATAGTTTTAAGATAGATACAGATATACACACACACACATACACACACATATATATAATTTTGAAGATATGCAGAACAACAACTCTTTAAGCAGAGGAAAAAGTCATCTTAAATATAGAATGACAGGTAACACAAGGCAACTTTGTATAATCTGAGAGCTGTACTTAAGCTAGAATGAGCAGAAGAGGTCTTTGCACCGTAAGTTAGAGAGTACTTTGTGGGAAGTATCATATATACTCTTTCTTACCTATCCGGTCTTACTGCTGGCAGTAACAAGTTGTTGAGCTAGGTAAGCTTGTCGTGTGACCCATCCTGAAAAGTGACATTTACAGCCAGGTGCTGGCAAGCCTGCCAGATTACATCTCTGGACTGCCCTTTACCACTTGAAAGAACTCCCACTTGGGATCTGTCTCTCCTATGCTGTGTTCCTCACCTAGGTACTGGAACAGAAAAAATGTTTTCTGATATGTTTAACACTTCAGCCTCAGCAAGAAAGATGTAGTAGCTTGAAGAAATCCCTGTAGAGGTGGTATTATTTCTGGAAGGATGAGGTTGACTTCCAAAATACAGTTGTCCATATATAGCACAGGAGATTTGTTGTTCTGTGCATTTTCAAAACAAGCTGAAAAACTGGAATATAGGACAAAACCCAACCCTGTTTTGAACGTACTTAGGAAGATGTCTCTTGGCTCCTACTGTCTTCTCATGCTAAACAGTTTGAGATGTGCTAAAAACACACTTGGAAAGAGCCTGTATGTTCGTATTTTTCACAACTTTCTGAGCAAACAAACATTGTAACTGTGTGCTGCAGACAATCTTTTTTTTGTTCTTAAGTATAGCCACAGTTCATGGCACTAGTGTGTAGCTGACTGCACTTTGTGACTGAAGGTTATTTAAAAATGCTTCTGTTAAGCGTACTTTAAACAAAAGTGGGGGGAGGAAGTGAGGTAAAGGGGGCCCTGACACAGCACAGATGTTAAATGGCAGTGTCACAGTGCACACAGTGAACAACACTTTTGTGTCTTGGGAAGTGCAGCTGTCAGTTTTAAACTTTCCATTGCCTAGAACCAGTGACAGCATCAAGTTGTTTCCTGTGTCATCTTGCAATGTGAAATATTCAGTGCATACTGGACAATTTAAGCAAAATCCAGAAAAATTCTGATCTCCTGATGTTCAGATTTTTTTCCTTTTTGTTCTATTGCAATTGTGTTTCTATCAGCTTTTTCCCATTTAAACTTTGTCTTATGTAGAGCAGAACTGACCTTTCGCAGGCATTTTAGTTGGCAGGCTGTATTTGCCTACATGCACAGCAGTAGCCCAGTGTAGAAGCGTATTGCTTCAGATATTTTCCTGAGTCTTTTGTGCTATGCTCTCAGTGTCTGTATTGTAGTTACTGTTCTTGAGAGCTGTTTTCTTTCATATTTATTTTCTTTCTTGATATACACAGTTATAAAAGCAGCATGAAATTACAGTGCTTTTGGACTATGTGGAGAGGAAATGTAAAATGAACTTTGTCCTCGTGTAGTAACAGCAGTATTTTTTGCTTTATTTTTAAAGCAAAATAGAGATACTACTACTTTGGAATGATGTTTCTGTTAAGTGTTAGGGGATGCTTGGAAACAGGTAGAGAGGGCTCTTGGGGAAATATACTGTAATATCTCATTTACTACTGCTCATTACCCAAATATCTTTGGACAGGGAGGGGAATTAGTTGTAGCTTATGCTACTACAGGACTTTAGGACTACAGGACACTTAGCATGCATTTAAACAGCTAATTGTATGTGTCTGTTTTTAACAAGCCAGAAACTATTTTCAAGGAAATGAGGAGTCCAGTCATATTTTAGTCTATTGCTGGAAGTAAAATACATAAGCTTTTAGCCTATGCACTTAATTTTATGTACAAATGAAAATAGGCTGGAAATCTGAAAGAGGAATAAGAAATTTTTTTTATCAGTGAAGTCTGGGAACAAAGTAGAAGGATAAATGCTTACTCTTCATTTTGCTGGACATAATGGTTTTAGCATTGTTTTAGTCAAGTCTGGAAGCCCCCAAGGAAGGGGTTTATCTGAATAAAAAAGGCACAAACAAGGATTTTAAAAATTAGTGCTATACTTGTTTTTACTAATGACTTACAACAAGGTGGTTGTTTACAATGCTAGGGTACCTGTGCCTTCCCAGATTGTTGTGATGATTGCAGTATTTTTCTGTATTCTGTTTTTTTTTTCTTTTTTAACTACCTTCAGGCACACGGTTTTAAAACTGGCAGAAGAAAGTACTGAAAAGTCTTAGTATGTCTTGGCTAAATAGCTAAGCTTTACTTCTGATGTTTCAAACTTCACAGTGCTTCAGGAAAGCACATTCTGCTTGTATTTAGATGTTTACTATTTCTTTTATTATTTCTTACACACCTTGGATGAGTAGATTTGCTGGCATCTGTTTTCCTAAGTCATACTTCCAACTCTTGAAGTATCGGTTCTGATTAAACAATCTTTATATAATGGATTTTTTTGGATACATTTGTACTTTATGGAGAGTGATACTCGCTGCTTAGTAGCACCATCTAGCTGTTGGTAGTGGAAAAACTTTTCTTCCCCCCACCCCCACCAGTACAGACCTCTCCTTCATGAGAGGAGATGGACTTGCACCTACTGACCAAGCCGTTGTTATCTTTGAGGAAGTACCTTTTTCCTCCCTCCTTGGCAGTTAAGTCTGATATTATATAAAAAGCTGTGATTTGTTTGTGTCATATCTTCTCTCAGATACTTTTTTATATTCTTGCTTATTTGCCAACTTTCAGGAATTGAATAGATATTTTGAGCATCTTGTGACTCTTCTTCCCCGCCCCCCCCCCCCCCCAAGAATGTACGTGCTTTGGAATTAAGACTGTGTCTTTAGTATATTGATCTACTTTTGTTTTTCCAGCTGATTATTAATGTTCATCTGCTCTGACCCTATTAATTTATTTACTATTCAATGGATAGCAGTGTAACAGTTAACATTTCAACATACAGCATATGTTCTGTTCAGTTCTGCTATGGTACAGCTGGTAGCTGTACCTCTATATAACAATATAAAAATACCTGATCTTTTGCGCTAAAGGAATAGAAATTATGTTCTTTTGAGCTTTCGTTGCTCTCATAATTTAAAGAACAAGAGGGTTTTTTTTAACTTGTCGTGTATGCTTTTGTCTTACTTTGTAAGCACATACAGGAAATGCATAAGTAGCAACAAGTTGTCTTTTTCCTAAAATACATGGATGACTGAGTGTACGAGAAGCACTCCTGTCTTGCAGTAGCTGTGGGTTGAAAGCCTCATCCTCTCCGAAGACTGAGAAGTCAGGGGTGTGTTTGTGTTCTACCTTTTATCTGTACAAAGCCCTACCAAGAGTCACACCGGCAGCACTTGTGTTCCAGGGTAGCTGCCACACAAAGGAACGGACAAATGAGCTTGATCACAGCAAAGCCTAAGAATTAAGTCTAAAAATCCATGATTCCTACAGGGAGGGGTGAGAAAAAGACAATCATGACTGCTCTTCTTCCCTTTTTCCCTTTGCTTCTCGATTTCTTATATAGCTTCCAATATACAGCACATGTGTATGACTTCTGTGTTTGAGGCAGAGACCAGTCTGTTTCACCATGTCCTTCGTCTTTCTAAATAGCCATATCTAGAGAAGTCCTTTATTAACATGAAGTTAGGGACAAAATGCTCTGATTTAGAAATGGTAAAAATTATTAATAATGTGATAGTCTAAGAACAAAACCTTGTTAAATAGTAATTGGTAATTCCTTACCCACCAAACCTGAACTTTGAATGACAGGATTTATTCTTTAGTCGTAGCAGACCAAGGTCATAGAAACAATTCTGTATGCAGAGTGGAATCTTTTTTTCCAATATAGTCTTCGAAGCAGAGAAGATGAGAGAATAACTAAACCAGGAGCTGTCTCTACACCTGTAAAGAATGCAGATGATATTTCTAAAACAATGGAAGAGGTGGCAGTTGAAAGAACTGAAAAACAAACTCCACCACTCCCAGGTAAAAACATTAAAATATATTAATTATGCATGCTGTTGAGAATGGATGACCAGTAAAGACTTTGTGCTATTGCATATTTGTGGAATGATTTCTAAAGTCTTAAAACAGACCAAGTCCTAATTATTTTTATTTCTGCATATGAATAGTCTTTGTAACTATAACCCCATTTATATCTTAAGGTTTTGGTCCTGAAAACCTAAGCTGTGGGGTCTGCCCATTATATAGGGATCAAACTTCAGTGTTTAGAGCTGTATTTGTAGGTAGTGGTGGTAAAGAGTTTTGTCATGATTTCTCAAGCAAGGTTAAAATCTGTCATTTCTTTTCTGAGTCAAGCAGTAGACTGGTTCTTACAGGTTACTATAGCAAACTATATTTAAACAAGGATGTAGTTAAGCCCGTTTAGAACTACTATTCCCAAGACACAGCTCAAAAACACTCCAAAATGCTTTGTTACTGTAGCGCTTACTAACTACAGTCATGGACCGCGAAGGCATTTTAACAAGTGCAGTACAACTGATAAAACAAGAACAAAATCTTACTCCTTTTTTTCTAAAAGGGAAGGATAAGCTAAATGGCAGCAGGTGAAAGTCAGTTTGTGTAAAAAAGAAAAAAAGGTAAGATGATTCAGTGACAGGACACTGTTCTAGGCAGGCTGACTTACAAAATTTTTGCTTACAGAATGAGGTGCTTTCATGAAATTGTAAGTGGAGAAAGAGGAGCTGTGTGGATCGTTTAGAGGGAGCTGTTCTTGAAGGGCTGGATAGAATGAGAAAAAGCACATTCAAGCTTGAAAATATTTGAAGACTTAAGGGATGAGCAGTGACTCTTCTGCATGTAGTATTCAGTAGCTCAGTGAAGAATTGGAAGAGTTATGATGTTGCTAGACTCTGAAAGATCTCGAAAATGAGAACAGTAGCTTTTCTGATGCAGCAGCCATTATTAAAAGGTTGTCATAGGAGGTGACCTTTTGCAGTGGTGTTATGAAAAGATGCAAATGAAGTAAGTTTATATTTGCCAGGATAGAAAAAGGATGTGGTAGTGAGATTAGAAAGATTAATTCTGTATTTCTATAACATATTGAAGATTAATAATTGGCATAAAGCAAAGCTAGCCAGGATAGGAGACCCTAGAGATGGTTCTTACATCCGAAGTAATGTACTAATAATTGGTTTGAGGGACTGGCAAGCAAGTAAAAAGTACTGTGGGGATTTTGTTGGTTAGTGGGGAAGAAGAAATGTTCTGTTCTTGGGTGAATGGGAGAGGAGCACATGGAAGTATTTAGTCTGGACGGGAGGAGATGTAGGCCAGTACATAAAGATAATATTTAACTTGGTGTATGCAGATAAAATTAACTTGCCATAATATATAGACTGAGATAAAAAGATGCAACAAAGGGTATAATCCTTTAACAGCCTCCCAGAAAGCTCTAGGGAAATGAGGATCTTTCAAAGGCTGTAATGAAAATGTGGTTAGAAAAGTAGTTGGCAGATTTTATGACAGTTTGCTGCTTAGAGTAAGGGCAAGATGACTGTCATGGTTGATTGTGTCAAAGGAGAGTGGAATGAGAGTATTTGTTCAGAGGGATCATCAGAGGCTTAGGCTAGGAAAGAGTCATTAAAGACTTAAAGGAAAATGCTGTGTTACTGTATGGTAAGGACAAAAGTCACATTAGTAAAGGCATTATTATCAAATTGTAGTCTGAAACTCCCCATTTCAAACTAGTGCATTCAGTGACTTGAAAGGAAGACAGCACAGTTGTTGGGAAGATCAGGGATATTATACTAGTTCGAAGCCAGCCTAGTTTGAAGTCAACTTTTCTCAAGTGTGCAGAGATAAGCCTTAAATACGCATTCTTCTAACATGATGGACCATGTAGTAGAGAAGAGCCCCTATTAGTGTTCATTACTGAGGGAAGACTGCAGTGGCAGTTTCCTCCCAGTGACCCCAGAGAATCTATGCAGCAGAGCTGTAGTAGAGTGCTTATCTTTAAGAACCACCAACTGGACCAAAGGTAAGCATTGAGATCTGCTGACCTCAAGGCATGCAGTAGTAGTTTGAGTGTTTGTGGTATTTTTATTTCTAAAACTGAATTCTTGAGGGAAGAGAGCCAATGGAAAATGAACATGTCAGATAAATCAAGGTAAGAAACAGCAGGGTTGAAAGTGGTCTTACGAGCATGAAGCCTTCTAGTTCTTGTAGTTTTACAGTGTTCAGAGTACTTGATGAAGTACAAAGGAAGTTTTGCGATGTTTACTGAAGTAATAATCAGGCCAGTAATCATGCTGCTTTGAATGGCATGGTGAGAGCGTCTTCTGTTGTTGTAAGCTTCTAATATTTTGCTTTTAAGTGGGGTAGAGGAAGGCTACTGAAGAAGTCATTAAGCTCTTAAGTTAAGCTTTACTTTCTCATTGTGAAATGATCAAATGGACATTGGAAATCTTCTGATATTTTAATAGAACCAAAGCCAGTGTATGCACAAGGAGGTCAGCCAGATGTGGATTTACCAGTCAGTCCATCTGATGGCCCTTTACCCAATTCAACCCATGAAGATGGAATGCTTCGGTAATGTAACTCTGAACTCTATTCAAATCTGCCTGGTCCTTGAGCAAACCAAGCTTTTATCCAGGGTGATGAATAACCTGTATAAATGGTCTGATGTAAAGTCCAGTATGCTGTCCTGACACTTCTGTTCAGAAATATTAGGATGAAGACTTAGGTTTATTCCTGAGCCTTGTTAGCACTTAGATTGTGTAATAATACATCATTTTTAAGTCTATTAATTTTCTATGGAAATGATCAGTTACAGTGATCAAATGGTGAAAAGAATTTGTGGTGTTCATCTCTCCCTGGGCACCCCCACCCCTCCTGCCCCATCCCCATCTCCAGAGAGGAGAGATACTGTACCATATTCTTTCCCTTTCATAATCATTGGAGAGCAGTGAATAAAGGTCACTGCAGAAATGTTGCAAAGTTGTGATGCGGAAATGAGTCTACTTCAACTGGGAACTCCTTTATGGACATTAGTGTACATGAGAATAGATCTAGTTTGGTTTCGTGTCAAACTCAGCTTAATCTCTTTGGAACCAAAACAGATCTATATGTCAGCACAGCTCTTTAAAGGAAGGAACATTTTTGGAAGAGAGTGTCAAAGTGTCTCACTTAAATCACTGTATGAGTGTAAGACAAACAAACCCCACTAAACAAGTAAATATAGGTGGGTCTTTTGGAGTGCTGCTAATGAGTGTGTTGTAATACTGCAGTTAATGGTATGCATAGCATAATATTCTCTAATTGAAATGGTAGGCACATAAGTTCTTTGCATGTGTTCAGTCTCAAATTTACCAGGATTTTATGCTATTATAACTCTAAGTGGAATATTTTCTAAATCTCTAGGCCAAGCATGAAACTGGTAAAATTCAGAAAAGGAGATAGTGTGGGCTTGCGACTAGCAGGTGGCAATGATGTTGGCATATTTGTAGCTGGTGTTCTGGAAGACAGCCCTGCAGCGAAAGAAGGATTAGAGGAAGGGGACCAGATTCTCAGGGTATGTCAAAAGCAATAACAGTACAAAGGTTTTGTTGTACCAAAGTAGGTTTTCTTTCTGTAGTATTGAATATATTGCCTTTGTAGTTCATACAGGTTTTTTTCTGTATGTACTTACTGGATGACTTAATAGCAGCAAAATTGCCTGTGACTGTACTGTTGCTAGGAATGTTAGTTTTACATCTGATTTCTTAGACTAATTCAGTTGATAAAGTTGGTTATTTTTTTTTAAACTGTTGTGCCATTAAATTGTCAGAGGGCTCTGTATGTTAGTGGTGTTTATAGGCACTCCATAATATTGAGCTAAAGAATATAAAATGAACTGCTACCTATTATTCTGGAAGCTATGCTTTTATGAAGAAATAAAGCGGGACTGTTTAGAGGTACAAGAGACATCTTGAGATACATGCACTCAGTGTGTTTGTATGAAACTGAATTAAAAAAAACAATCTTAACAATAAGTTGATTTAGATTTCCCATTGTATAGTTAAATCTGTTATAATGTCATATGCTAAATCAAACTGATTACTTCATTGATACCAGGTAAATAATGTAGACTTCACAAATATCATCAGAGAAGAAGCTGTCCTTTTTTTGCTTGATCTTCCTAAAGGCGAAGAAGTAACCATTTTGGCACAGAAGAAAAAAGATGGTAAATATTTGTATATCATGAGCAATGTAGTAAACTGCTTGGAACAGCATAAAAAGTATAGCGAATGATGACTAACTTCTGGCTTGCAGGAAATTGGCACCTTATGAAGACTACTAAGTTCTTTTGCCTTTGTGATAGGTTACTATGACAAGTGGGCTAGAGGCTGATATTGTAACAGTACGCCACCACCCCACCCCCAAACAAACCAACAAGCCCCCCAAAATTAAACAACCCCTAGAAAACCTGAACAAAAAACCCCACCAAAAATAACCCCTAGCATCTGACTAAAGTATTGGCATTAAACCTTAGGGAAGCAGGAGAGTCTGTTGTAGTTATGCTGTCGAAAATGAGTGATTACCATGTGTGTGCACACACAAACTTCCTTCCCAGTAAGATTCATTCCTTCCAGGGGAACTGAATTAAGCTTGCACCAGCACCAAATTTTTGACCATGAAAGTTGAATTTAATTTGGTAGAGTTTGCTGTTAATAGTTATGCTGCTTAAAATAGAGTAGTTCTGAGACATTAAGGCTTCTTGAAGGAATACTGTATATTTAAAACAAGGAGAATTAAGGTGAGGCACCGCTTTGAGTAATTCTTGTGAGCATTTGGACACCGCTTACGTAACACTTTATATTTTGGCATTTCTTTCCCTTTTTTCAGTTTATCGTCGCATCGTTGAGTCTGATGTAGGGGATTCTTTCTATATCAGAACTCATTTTGAGTATGAAAAGGAATCTCCTTATGGACTAAGTTTCAACAAAGGTGAAGTGTTCCGGGTTGTGGACACTCTGTACAATGGCAAACTGGGTTCATGGCTGGCAATTCGGATTGGCAAGAATCATAAGGAAGTCGAAAGAGGTATCATACCTAACAAAAACAGGTACGATCTTAAAATTCTTAAACTGCTGTTTTAAAACTAGAATTTCAAATTCTACATCTGTATAATGAATGATTGGACTTGTTTGCAGGACACTAGTTTATAGAACTGGTTCAATCAGAGGTGACTAAGTGTTAAAACTTTATATTTTTATATAAAACTATATACTGAAGTTAAATATCTGATCTATGGATTTGCTTTTGACTCTTGTACAGTCCACAAAAAAACCTTAAAACTTTCTTTTCAATACAAGAGACAAAGCTATATAAAGCTTTAGAAATGTGATATCAGACTCAGTAGTTCAATCTTGTACTTTCTAATACAGAAGCAACGAAAGCTTGATTCAGCAGGTGGTAGTGTTTTTTGGAAGTGTAAGCTTGCTAGTCAAGCATTACTTCAGAAGCTGACTTTGTTGATAACTGGTTGGGATTTGTCGTCATCTTAGAGCTGAGCAACTAGCTAGTGTACAGTACACGCTTCCAAAGACAGCAGGAGGAGATCGAGCGGATTTTTGGAGGTTCCGAGGCTTGCGTAGCTCAAAAAGAAATCTCCGAAAAAGCAGAGAAGATCTTTCTGCCCAACCTGTTCAGACAAAGTTTCCTGCCTATGAAAGAGTTGTTCTTCGGGAAGGTATGGCTTTATTCTTACTGTTGCAGGTTAACAGGTTTGTGTGGTTTGCTTTGTATTAGCCTATGTATTTAAGAGTATCTTGCATTTGTTTTAAGCAATCAATATATTTTGACTTTTTCCTTCAATTCTAGCTGGGTTTCTCAGACCTGTAACCATTTTTGGTCCGATAGCTGATGTTGCACGGGAGAAACTTGCTAGAGAAGAACCAGATATCTTTCAAATCGCAAGTAAGTGCGAGATCAGGTTTTTCTGCAGTTAGGAAACAGTCAACTTTCTTTTGCTAGATTATTTGTTGCTACATTATTACTTTAGCTGTTAACATGTTTAACAAGATGTTGACAATGTAGAGAAACAGGCTAAATGTAAGCTCTTCACTGGTTGCTGATAATTCTCTGCAGGTAAAGGTAATATTAGTTCTATTTATAGCCTTCTTAAATTTCATTTTAATTCAGTATCTTCTTATCCTATTTCTGAGTGCTTTTGTAAAGATGTAGTGATTTTTATGGCCAAATTGGTGGGTAGATTTTTGTGTATTGTTTTGAGGCAGTGTCTTCAATCTGAACTGACAATTTGAGCTATGAAATGGTTTGTTTTATCGTAGTAAGGGAATGTAGAATATGTTACAAACTTACAACAGATTTTTTTATTGTGTCCTCTTTACCAGAAAGTGAACCAAGAGATGCTGGTACTGACCAACGTAGTTCTGGCATTATTCGTCTTCACACTATAAAACAGATAATTGATAGAGTAAGTCTTTTATTGTCACTGTACTTGTAACAGAAGAAGAGGAAAACTGGTGTCATCAAGTAAAGTGTTGGGTGTTATAAAAGTAGAAGAATAACTAATGAGTGTGTTTGCTTTAAAAATATCTTTCTCATCTTTCTGTTGATTAATTAAAAAAAAAAACCCACCTCTTTCCTTCTCCATATTAATAACTGCAAACTGCAGCCTAGAAGTAATTCTAGGCTTTGTTCCAGGGAGTGTTGTCCTCTCTTCATTAAAGCTGTTTCCTCTTTCACGCAAAGCCATGGTGTGACATTACAGCTAGATATTGTTACTTTATTTATGGAGTTGTTAGTCTTTCCCCCCACAATTCACTAATTAATAACTTGATATCATTTTCCTGTGCAAGGACTAGGGGGAAGAGTCCTTGAATCTCACTTCTATAATAGCTGTAAACCTTCTGACATTAGTTCATGGTACAGGACTCTGCTCCTCACCTTTTTATTTCCTTACTTAAAAACAAACTGCAAGCCTTTCAGATGCCCAAGGGCGGGGGGAGGAATTCTAGCAGCAAAGGATACTGCATGCTGTGTGCTTGAGATAAATCTTGCACTGGATGAAAGCTGACCAAGTTCTTGCATTGAGTAATTTTTTTTTTTTATTTGGTGTGCGTGTGTGAAAGGAAAATAGAGGTCTATGATGAGACTAGGTCTTGTTTCAATCTTTCCTTTTTTCCTATTGGCAGAATACTAGTAAGAAACTGCTTATTTTTAGTTTAGTGCCTGCTTCCTTTGAGGAGTTTTTTTAAATAGGGAGTTAAATATTAAAGAGCTCATAGTTACACAGTCAGTCCTGCAGTTCCAAATGTATGTGCCTATGTAGCCTGGTAATGGAATTGGTTAGGCTTCTGTTCAAATAGGAAAAGAATTTAAGTCAATACTTTGAAACAATGAACTCTGTAAAGGTAATACAAAATAAATTTGTGGAGGATATTTAAAAAAAAAAATCTAGTATACAAGTAATTCACTTTCTTGCCTCTGACCTTTTTATCACAACAGGACAAACATGCTTTATTAGATGTCACTCCTAATGCAGTGGACCGTCTGAATTATGCTCAGTGGTATCCTATTGTGGTTTTCCTAAATCCTGATTCCAAGCAGGGTGTAAAGACTATGAGAATGAGGTTGTGCCCGGAATCACGAAAAAGTGCTAGAAAGCTGTATGAAAGAGCTCACAAGCTACGCAAGAATAATCACCATCTCTTTACAAGTAAGTAATTGGATATACTGGATCAGTGTTTCTGAGAGGGGAGGGGAAGGTGAGATGAGAGTAACTTCTTCCTCCAGACTTTTCTGCAAATGGACCAAGTCAAGCAGTTGTTGACTTGTTCAGGCTCCCCCATTCAATAACCGGTAGTTCATTGATGTGTGCATTGTTTGCACATGACTGCACAAATGCAAAGTGATTGGAAACATCAAAATTACATTTCTAATAGATCTGTTGGCTTTGTAGGATCATCAGCCAAAATCAAACATTTGATAAATAGGAAGATGATGTAGTTTTGTTTTGTTTTCAGTCTGGCTAAACTGAAGCCTCACTTTATTCTAAGCTACTGTTAACTCAGTATTTCCTATGGGATAAAATGTCTCAAACAACATCAGGCCTTAAGGTTGCTTTGAATACTAATATTTACATTACTATTTAAATCTCATAGTTTTAACGTAACAGTTTATATTGCTTTTATTACTGGTGGTACAGATCCTTCTCATAGTTCTGCAGAAATCATAAGTCAAACTAACCTGCTCTACTTCTAGCTACCATTAACTTGAATTCAATGAATGAAGGATGGTATGGAGCTCTGAAGGAAGCAATTCAGCAACAACAGAACCAACTAGTGTGGGTTTCAGAAGGAAAGGTAAGAAATAATATTTTGGGGGGAGAAATGACAGAATTGTATTTATGAGAGGTTTTTTTTTGTTCTTTCATTCTTACTGGTACTACAGATATGGACAGATACTTGTGGAATGAAGTTTGTTTTCCTTTTTTTCCTCATTTTAACCACCATTTGAAGATCTAAAGCCGTAATGCCTCGTGGCTGTGTGAACTGCTAAAATCTGATTTGTCACTGTATTAGTGCAGTTATTCTGTTAATGAGGGCTGTATAGTTGTCCTTGTGCATGTAGCAGTGTAGTAAGAGCAGTTGTCCATTGCCACTGTTAACTAGAGGGCATACTATTTCTTTGAAGACTTTGTGAGGACTGGATGCTTTTTCACGAAAACTTCTGGGTGTTCTGCTGCATTGGTGCAAGGGGCTGGGATTGCCTGGTGATGAATTAGTTTTTCGTTAATATAAAAGCAAGTGGCATATTTATGTTCTTTCTGGCCTGAGAACTGTGTTCTCTCGGTTGTGAGAACACAGATACAAAATCACAAGTTAGTATTCTGTGTTCCCCGCTAAAACTTCACTTGCCTTCTCAAGCTGCATGTTATACTACGCACATTAGATCCATCCTCTTGAAGAACTAATATCAAGTGAAATGCCAACTGCAAGTAAGCAAATAATGAATTGGCTATTGCTACGTGTTTCTTAATATTTGGATTGTCTTTTCTGTTCAGATTGAGCTCCTTTCACCTCCTTATATCTACCTTCAAGTTAATGATTCTAATATCATAATATCACTTTAAAGTGCAGCTTTGTATCTTTCCGAACACTTTGATTTCCATGGACACCATACACTGTCCCCTCCCTTAAGCTGACAGTCATCTGACCCCTTAGTAAAATGATTCAAAGCGCTAGATTGCAGAAAAGGCTTTTAGGTGTAAGGTTAACATCTTCAACAATCAAAACCTGTTTTCTCCTCCCCTGTGGTACTCAGAATTGCTGAATTCTCATACTGTTGCTATGCTGCTGGATTTGGAATATGACTAATTTCTTCAACTACCAGATTTTTGTTGTGGTTCAGAACAATAAATGCATTCCATTTGTTCAGTTCTTCATTATTAACAGAAAAAGTTCCTAGCTTTACATTGCAAGAAGGGGGGCATTCTTTAAAAGGTATTTAAATAAACATGTACTCTAATTTTGTTTGACACAGGCAGATGGTGCCACAAGTGATGACCTTGATTTACATGATGACCGTCTGTCTTACCTCTCAGCTCCTGGTAGTGAATATTCTATGTACAGCACAGACAGTAGACACACATCTGATTATGAAGACACAGATACAGAAGGGGGTGCTTATACTGATCAAGAACTGGATGAAACTCTGAATGATGAGGTTGGGACTCCTCCTGAGTCTGCTATTACACGTTCTTCTGAACCTGTTAGAGAGGATTCTTCTGGAATGCATCATGAAACTCAAACTTACCCTACTTATGCATCTCAAGCTCAGCCACAGCCAAATCTCAGAATAGATTCTTCAGGATTTAAAACAACTACTACTACTCAGCCGGTAAGAAAGTAGTTTTACACACTGACTGCTATACGTTTACTTCAGGGTGCAAGTTCTCTTGAACAAGAAATCTGTGTGTGTAGTCTGCTCACCTGAATTGTGAGTGCATACAAGAATCTGTCAACAGCAGCAATAATACGTTATAATGAATTGGAGACTCAGCTTGTCCTACCTGTTTTAGTGACTCATTGTGACAGGAGGGGGATTGAAGTACCATTCTACTTTGATTAAATGTTTTGCTTTTTTAATCTTCAACGTAACGAATTTCTGGAAGTGCTAGTGCATGATACTTTCAATACATTCCATTCTACATCTAGCTGTGTTGATCAGAGCGTCATTTAAATTATTTTAATATAAATCAAAAAGTCATACAGTGATTCAATAGCAGTATATTTTAAATATTTTAAACACTTCACAGAAAGCAGAAGCCTCACCTGCAGTCCCTTACCTTTCCCCGTCGCCTGAATCAAACCCTGCAACCTCATCAACCTCTGCAGTAAATGCTAATGTAAACCTAACTAATGTCAGACTGGAGGAGCCTACCGCTGCTCCTTACAACTCTTACCAACCACAAGCGGGCCCCTTAAGAACATCAAGTACTGAGGGAGCTCATATAGTCCTAAGAGATCAAGAGCCATCATCCTTATCGCCGCATATAGATCCAGCAAAGGTACCTGTGCCACATTGTTGCGCTGATTTCCTGCTATACATCAAGCTAGCACGTGATCTTTTTGTTTTGCCCTGATTTGGAGAATTCCTTCTAACTTTTTTTCCCCTATGAAATCATGCAGGTTACAAAAAAACAGTGCCTCTGAACTGCTAAGCGTCATGTAGTGTTTTGTGTGCATGGCTTCAAACTATATACTTTTCACTTCTCAAAAAGATGACATTTTTTAAAAAGGCTGCATTCTGTATTTTGATTTTACTTTACGTGTGACTTTTTTTAGCTTGTCAATGTTCTGCTGTTTATTAATGAGGCCTTGAGAAAAATCAGTTATTTCCCTAAAATGACACTAGATCTGGTATACTTTAAATTGTGCCAAATCCTTGATCATGAAGACGAATCCAGTTTGTTGGGTGACTTTATATACTTCCTCAGCAATGCTAGAACTAACTTAAATGTAGATCTATTTACTTCCATTCTTTCTACCCCCTGCAAAAAAGTGTGTGTGCTGCCCCCATCGCCACCCCCCCTGCCCTGGCCCCAACACCAAACCCCAGAGATGAGACACTATTATCTTTGTATTTCCCTTTTAATATACTTAAGTGGTTTTGCTTAAAAATAGGACTGGAAGGGATCTCTTGAATCACCAAGTTCAGCTTTCTGTGATTACAAACCACTGCATCAAATTGTTCTGCTTTTAAACAAAATTAAAGCCAATATTTAAAACTTAAGTTTGTTCAAAACATTACATTTCAAGTGCAGCTGCAGTTACTCTTTATTTTAACTGAAAAGTATGTGTGTCTCTTAACAGGTATACCGAAAGGATCCATATATTAACGAAGAAGTGTCCAGACCAAGCTATGTCTTAAAACAGCCAGCAATTAATCACCCAGTACAGAGACAGGAAAGAGACCCAAATCTCATCTATGAATCCCAGGCTCAGTATGCAGAAAAACAACCAAGTAGGGACTATGAACAGTCAACATACAGGTATGATTCTGCAAACTATGTAGATCAATTTTCTCGTGGTTATGACCCTCGCCTACATTATGATGACCGTGTGCCTCCATATGAGGAGCACTGGGCATATTACGATGAAAAACAGCCCTACAACCAAGCAAGAACAGCTTATGAAAACCAGCCTCCTAGGGATCTTGATTCCAGACAAAATATAGAAGAGAGCACAGAACGCAGCTATTATCCAGCACAACCTCGTTTTGAGGAACCCCCTCCAATGAGCTATGATGGCAGACCTCGCTATGAGCATGCACCCAAAAACTTCAGCTTATCACAAGTGCGATATGAAGATCAACATACTGTTGGATATGACACACATAGTAGATACAAACAAGAAGCTCAGCCATACCAGTCAGCCATATCTCGATCTCCTGAACTGAAGCAGTACTTTGAGCCACATATAAGGGGCTATGAACAAGGTCCTCCTCAAGCTTATAATGCTAAAGCTGGACAATATGAGCCTTCTCATAGCTCTTCAGGTGTTTCTCTTCCTCCTCCTCCTTCATCACAAACCAAACCAGAAGTTTTGCCTTCTAACAGTAAACCACTGCCTACACCACCATCTCTAGCAGAGGAGGAAGAAGATCCAGCCATGAAACCGCAGTCTGTGCGAAGTAGGGTTAAGATATTTGAAAGACGAAGATCACCATCTTTGGAAAAAATGAAGGACCCAAGTGATACATCAGCTGTCAAGGTAAGTTGCTTAAGTTTTTTTTAATTCCTACTTTTTGCTATTGAGACTACATTGCAAGAAGTAAAATACTGTCTTGGAAAGAAAGCTTTACTGCTTGTGGAGTAGCCTCTTAGCAACCGATCTGCAGTATGTTTTAAAAGCAGAAGCTGAAAGCTTCTGTGAAAACACTCAAGGGGATCTTGGCATGCTGAAAACTCCTTCAATTCGTCTTGCACTAGTATTTAATTCTGGTTTATCCTTTTCAGGGCAGGAGGGGGGGGGGAGTCTTAGTTTTCTTACTCATAAACTGCTGTATCTTTCTAAATGTTAGCATCTAGGAGAATACGTTGTGCTTTTCTTTACAGCCTCCAGAACTAGCGCCTAAGCCTGCACTCGCAACTGTGAGTGGTCCAAAACCAACTTCTCAAAGCCAGTATGAACACGACAAAACAACTTACAGGTAGATGCACAGCTGATTAATTAAATTTAGTTTTCATTATGAGGTTAGAATATTCAGAAAACACATCTTAGTGGTTCAAATTGGAAACTGCAGAGTGGACAGTCGGAGTGTGTCGATATGATTTGTGTGTCAATAGTAAGGCAGGGCATAAAGTCAGTTCTCATGGGCATGATTTCTGGGAAGTGGGGGAAGGACACAATATCGGTTTTTTTCAGCATTTTTGAGGAAGAAACCCAGCCGATATCTCTATCTTACTTTTTTATATGTTTAATTGAGATAATTAGGGAAGTAAAACAAAAGGGAAAGGTAAGGTAGAAGGAAAATAAGGATTTTCTTTCTTTATGCTATGTCACAGCTATCGAATTTCCATGCAATATAGGTTAAAAAGGCAAGGTGTGCAATTATTAGTTACATTTCAGTTCTTTATTACTAGCTAGGTTATAAAATAGAATTTTGATTCAGGTACTTATGCTTGTTCAACTGTGCAAGGCAACTTTATATTATTATTATTATTGGCTAGGGCCCCAGAACCACAGAGACCTCAAGTGAAGCCACCTGAAGATATTGTGCGTTCAAATCATTATGATCCTGAAGAAGATGAAGAGTATTATCGAAAGCAGCTCTCGTACTTTGATCGCAGGAGTTTTGAAAATAAGCCATCTGCGCAGGTTACTGCCAGCCATCATTCTGAGCCCACTAAACATTCGCAGAATCAGCTGAATTTCACCAATTATTCTAAGTAAGTTTGGGAGATTTCTTTTTTTAATTTGAAAAAGGGGGGAGGCATATAGGACTAAAACAGAAATTCTATCTCTGTCAATGGAATTCCAGGGGTTCGTGGTATCTAATAGAAATTATTTTGTATTCATGAAGTTAGTTCTCTCTTTAGATATAGCTTCAGTTTGAAAACACATAACTTCATAACTTTTTATTTTGGTAAATTAAATGAATCATTTTTGTAGGTTTCAGGACCTTCAACATGTGACTTCTTTTGCTTCGCACTTACTAACAGAATGTAACAAAGTATTTCCTTAGTCTAACTAACACTGAGTGCTTAAACGTCTTTGAAAGCAAAGGTTTTGGTTTATTCCAGTTCTGCATGCATTTATTCTGCAGACAGGCTTGTACACATTAGCCATGTTTGACATTAGGAAACTGAGCCTTTAGGGGATATTGCTGAGGCCAGAATTTAATCTGTTGATGGAAACATCTGTTTCCTGTATTGTTCTGCTTCCTTGATTTGGAACATTTTGATACAGAAATTGTGTGAAAGCTCATACACAGATTTAGCTCAGGTACAGAACTGGCGATCTTGGAGGATACTTATGCAAACTTTGTGAATACTTTCCACAGTTACCTAAATTTCAAAAACTTGTTTTGATTCAAACTATAACAATGTGTTACTGTGAGAAGCTATCTTGGCTTGCTGCATGCAGGCTGAAAATTGGTGGGCATTTCTGAAGGCTTTGGTTTTTTTTGCTTGAAATCTAGAAATCTGCTCGGGTCGAGCTGAAAATCTGGCAACTCATGAGATCCTTAAAGTGAAGTAATAAACTAGCTTGCTGAAGTTTTATAGTGTTAAGCGTATGTGCAAGCTGTCTTTCATGTACTTGATATGCTGTGTTCTAGTGCTTGTCTTAAAACATTTGAGCTCTTGGGAATCCTGTTCTTATTTGTATAATACTGTCTGTCATCTCCCAATATCTTCCTCTGAACTGAGAATACTGGAATCTTTTTAAAAGCTTGATAGGTTTTAAAGGATTCACTTTTTTCCCTAATCAAGAAGTGTACATATGGTAATGTTGTGGTTTAGCCCCAGTTGGCAACCAAGCACCACACAGCCGCTTGCTCACCCTCCCCACAGTCAGTGGGATGGGGGAGAGAATTGGAAGGGCAAAAGTAAGAAAACTCATGGGTTGAGATAAGAACAGTTTAAGAATTGAAATAAAATAATAATATAATAGTAATAAAAATGGTAATGAAAAGGAAAACAAGTGTTGCAGCCACTCACCACCTGCCAACCAATGCCCAGCCGGTCCCCGAGCGGCGATCGCTGCCCCTTGGCCAACTCCCCGCAGCTTATATACTGAGCATGACATCAAGTAGCTAGCGATAGCACAAGAGGAAATGGGCTCAAGCTGCACCAGGGGAGGTTTAGATTGGATATTAGGAAAAATTTCTTCACGGAAAGGGTAGTCAAGCATTGGAACAGGCTGCCCAGAGAGGTGGAGGAGTCGCCATCCCTGGAAGCGTTCAAAAAACGAGTAGATGTGGCACTTTGGGACATGGTTTAGTCTAGTCTACCCTTAATTGGTTTAGTGTGGACTTGGTAATGTTAGGTTAATGGTTGGAGTGGATGATCTTAAAGGTCTTTTCCAACCTAAACGATTCTATGATTCTGTTCTATGATTCTATATGGTATGGAATAGCCCTTTGGTCAGTTTGGATCAGCTGTTCTGGCTGTGCTCCCTCCCAGTTTCTTGTGCACCTGGCAGAGCATGGGAAGCTGAAAAGTTCTTGAGTAGCATAAGCAGTACTTAACACACTGATGGTTTAGTTGTTGCTATCAGCATTATTCTCATACTAAATCCAAAACACAGCACTATGCCAGCTACTAAGAAGAAAATTAACTCTATCCCAGCTGAAACCAGGACAGGTAACTATTTCTTATTTTACTTTTTTGTATGCTAAGGAAGAAATGCATATAGTAATCTGCAACCAGTTCTGATTCTTAGTCAAGGATGTTCTTTAGCCTTTCTTTTCGCTTGCCCTGTGTCTTCTGATGGAAACGTGGGAGCATATCTGTCCTGCTCTCTGGGCATCATAGGAAGACGCCTAAAAAAATTAAGTCTTGGCTGGCCTCATAGTGCATTTCAGTAGCTTTCAGAATTATGTTTCCACATACAAAAACCAATGTTACCCATAGATTGTCCCTTTTGATCCATAGGTATGGACTGTGTTGCCATCATAAATGCAAGTAATGCTTTGGGAGAAATGTAGTAGGCTTTCATCAAGTAATTGTGAAGATTGTAAGATTCTTCAGATGGAGAGCGTTGTAAGCTTTCGTTGTACATTTGTTACCCTCTGCAGTGTTGTCACACAAGCTGAAAAACATGAGAAATACACACCACTATTGAATTTTTGCTGCAGAACAGCTAATAGTTGAGAGAGATTGTTCCATACTTCTACCGGCTGCTTCTGTCTGCCATGGCATTTCTATTCTTTGGCTGCTCAGTTCTGTTTTTGTTTTGATTGTAAGTTAGCATATAACTTGAGGACTTGTACTTATGGGAAGGTGACATCTTTCTGCCACAGAGGAATGAGAATACTGTTTGAAGGCTGATAGTTTCATATGTCAGGGGACAAAAATGTGTTGTGTTTTTTCTTTATGAAAGAATGTAACCCTTAACAGGAAGGGACAGACATGGGAAAGAAAATTTACCCAGGGTAGTCCAGTGCAAATAGACAAAGACTAAAATATCAGTGGAAGTAAGTGGAAAGAGATAAACAAGAACACTACTCAATTGGACAGTACTGCCTCCAGAACCATACTGCAATGTCCTTGCATGGAAACACAAAACAATTGCTGTCTTGAGAAAGCATTCATATTTAGGACTCTCCTTTTGCCAACTTCCAGTTTGTACCTTGTTACTTGCTTGTTATTAATTTTTTTTTTCCCAGTGAATTTATATGATAATTGCTATTCTGTGAGCAAATTCTCCTAAAGATAAACAGGACTAAATTTGGATGATACAGGAACTGTTGATTATGCAAGCTCTTGCTCCTGCATAATCCATATAATGTATTCTGGGTGCAGAGGACAGATTTTACTTATTCATGAGCAATAGCTACAACTTCTTCAGTTTTAAATATTAATGTTAAACATTAAGTTATGTAAAGTTCTCTGCCACTGAGTAAGTACTGTGAAAGTATATGTATTTTTCCCATTACGCGTGTACGAATTTGTTTACTCTTTTAATTTTGGGGGGTTTTATTTCCATCATTTAGGAAATTTATGCCATAACTAAAGCTGCTTTGTATGGGTAATGCCATATCTGCATCTTACAGTTGTCAGTAACTGTAGAGTAAGGGATAGTTTCTCTTGATGTGAGAAAGTAGTAGAACTTGTAAATGGACGTGTTTCAGTGGATCTAGTTGGAGCAATTTATGAGTACTACCCCTGTGGCTGAGAGTAGTGGGTTTGTTCCTGCTTGGTTCAATGTAGTTACCTGCATTAGCTTGATGTGCTGCAGAATGAGGTAGCTTATCTGAATTTTGTATTGAGTAGGGTTAAGAGTAGTCACATGATTAGTTACAGCCTCATCTGAGGAGGCAGGAAGGAACAGTGTCCTATGTTAACTTCTTAAACTACTCTAGCTGAGCTCTTATGTCTGGTAAGTGTTGGAGCTTTTTGAATGGGAACTGAAGATCAGCAATGCATCTGAGTTTTCTATTGTACACCAAGGCAACCTGTTGCCCACCGGTTCATTCTAGTGGTTCGTTTCTGCTTCATTTCAAATTAAAGTAGCAGTTTTGTAACAAAAATGAAGTGGGAAACAGCTTGGAAAGTAGCATATCAGTAATTAGAGGAATTTCTTTTATGTCCTCACAAGTTGTAAGCAAGCATTTTGTTGTGGACCACTTTCACTGCATACAGGTTCTGAACAATGCGGTCGAGATTGTGGCTGACCCTTGGTCAAGAGCCTGCGACAGAAGAATGTGCTTCATATTAAGCACAACTTTGTGCTGGTTGTGTTTGTGTTGTCATAGCTCTCTTCTGCTCCCTCCATTAAAATGTACTACCCTTCCCCATTTTTCAATTCTCCAGAAAGCTGGCAGTTGGTTCTGATTGGGTGTGGAGTGTGTTGGGTTTTTGCTGTGGGCTTTTGCAGTGCTGCCCTGCCTTGCTTCATATCGCCTCTGGGAAGCAGTGATTTCAGGTGGGCAGTTTTCTGAGAAAGCAGCTACTACCCACCTGGAATAAAGACAACAGTGAGTGAGCATGCAGCAATAACTTCTGTTGCTGCATGAATGGCTATATATAAAATCAGTGGGAACGGAAGCTTATACAGCAGATCTAAAATTATCTTTTTTGCAACACTGTTTTTAGAGATACATAGATACAGATGCTGTTTAGCTCACTTGAGTGTCAGTCATCAAGCAGACTTTCAAAAGTTGATCAGCCCTTTTCTTAGTTTCATAACATACTCCTCTGAAGCAGTAAGACTGTTGGTGTTACATTTTTATGAGCATACAGAAAGTGAAGGGATGAGGGAAAGCTGTCCTAATGTAAAATGTATTTTCTTGCACCGTATAAGCAAGATAAGTGTTAAAAATCAAGGGAGAGTCATCAGTTTACTTACGGTTTTCTGTCTCTCCTAGTATCCATAAACAGTTGTTCCAAGATATCCATTTAGGAATTGTTGAACACAATCAGAAGTGTTTTATGGTGTGGGCTCTGCTATTGGATGAGCTGATAGTGCTATAGAAACATTTGCTATGAATGTACCCTCAGTACATGATCTGCACTACAAAACCATCATTATTCCATGTACGTTAAGACTGAAGAAATTAATGCAAATTGGACCATCAGTAAGAGATTTAGATTTATATTTTGTTCACTTTTTTCAATATATTAGTAACTTTGTACAGATTGTAACAAATGGCTTAGTGTAATCTCATTCTTACTTTCCGTGTGTGTCAATTTGAGATCTTGACCACCTAATTCACTGACAAAATCTTATAGTAAATATAGTAGGTGATCATTGTACTTACGCATATAGTAAAGGTCTTACCAGAAATATCACTGTTAAAAGTAATGTCTCTTTGTTTCAACAACCTTGTCATATGAGAACTACTAGGACTTAACATAAAAAGTATGAAGAAATAATATGCTCAAGATAGAATGACTATTTTCTTTCATTCTTCTATTGCTGTTTGCTTTGCCATCACCTAGATTTCTTGGCTCTTACACTAGCTATGACTACTTGAAAAGGAACATCAAGTGGTAAGACTGCTGTTGATGTGAGGATGTTTTCAGGTGTCCTCTCACTGTTAACATTTCATCACAGGCATTATGTGCACTTAGAATTTGTGCGTTTAAAATTTTGAAAGTAAGTGCGATATATTGTAGTCCAAAATTACAGATATTTGTGAAATCAATCATTTACTGAAATAAACTTTTGGAGAAATATTTCTAGTATAAGAAAAATGTTTTGGAAAATAAGATTTTAAAGTTATCTATGCTATGCACATAAAGCTAGTGAAGCTTAAGCTGATTACAGTTCTAATTAAGATGGCATTGTTCAAATACTAGGTGTATTTAGAAAAGTTGTACTAGAATGCATTGTCCTATTGGCTAATTATGCTTGTCAAAAACAACCTGCCCACCCCCCCAAAAAACTGGGTTTATATTTTTATGTTGAAGACCTGCTAAATTAGAGAACACTTTTTCATTGAAATTACCAGAAATTAAATTGAAAAATGAAGATCTTGTAGGCAATCATGCAAATACACCTGAAATGTCATCTGCCTTTTGTTTGCCATGGTTTGTGTTACTAATCTTCTTCTAAAGATTCAATGTTGTCTTAATCTCTTGTGCTTATCAATAAATGTTTTTATACTTGAGACAGGGTATTAAAGAAAATTGTGTTTTAATGTTTATAGGAAGAGATTGAAATCAGGTGATCATAGAAGAAAAAAATAGCAGTGAATGCAGGAGCTCAGAGCCCTGAGGAAACCAAACAGTCAAATGTATTTGTTTTTTTGTTTTGTTTGGTTTTTTTTTTAACTTTATTTCAACAGGGGGAAACCAGCTGATACTGAATCAATGGATAGGCCTATTGGTGAAAAACGCTATGAGCCAATCCCTCAAGTTACAACTCCTCCTCCTGCTCCTTCAGTCCAGTATACACAGCCTCAGTCGATTAATAGTCCTGTCCTGTCTCTCCCAGCACATCACAAGCCTGTGCTTTCTGAAGGTGAGCGGTTGGAAAGCTAACCCATCTCGTGGTAACAACTGTCTCTTGCCAGGTGCTTGTATGGTTGCTTCAGCATGTCTGCACTGGTAACTATGTTGTTCTCTCACTGAAACTTGGAATAATTATTAGTGAAAACAGCTTTTTACTGTAGTGAGATTGAGTTTTGTGAAATGTTTTGGTGATCTGGTCTGAAACCATAACTTCCAGGTGTCAGTAGTCACTATAAGTGTCTCTTCTATATTTAGTTGTCTCAGCAAAGATGAAGTAAAGTTTCCAGTACTTAAAAAATGTATCTCTCTGTGCCTTGGACCAGAATTCTTTAAGCATGAGTAATAGTTGTAGGCTTCTAAAAACAGAAGAAAAAGTTGTTTTCACTTTCACATTGAGAGGATTGCCCAGTCCAACTGAATTTTCCAGTTTGTGCAAGTGCATGATAGCATTTAAATGCTGTTTTTTTTTTTTTTTTTTTTTTTTTTTTTTTTTTTTTTTTTTGGTCATGGTATAAATTGGTATGACCTTTCAATAAAAAGGTTAGACCTTTGTATCAAATTTTATCTCTTTAATGAAACAACAGATAACTTGCCTGAACATACAAAATGTAATAGGAGGACGGATGATCTAAGAGAGCTAAGCTGAACCTATATATATATATAT